CATGCGGGGAGCTGTTTCAAGCCCCTCACTGTACAGTACCTCTCCTGGTAAGGAGAGTGGAGTTCTACAGTCCTTGGGTCACCTCAGGCGAGCAGATGGTCAGAGAGGTTGTCGCCACGTTTTGGGCCAAACGTTATGCGTGATTCCTGCTTGTCTCAGGCATGCCAGTGTGTACGCCGTCTGCCCGTGCACCTCGGTTATGACGCCGTCTGCTGGGGGAGGGATTGATAGGTACAAACGTGTGTGCTTGGATTGCCGGAGTTAGACAGCCATCCATGGCTATTGAATACAGACACGTACAGTAACTATCAAAGCCCATGCAGTGCTGGTGCCCCCCGTCTGAGATTGGCTTGCTGAATTGGTGCCCCCTCAGAAGATGGCAGCCACCAATGATACCCAATGTGTTGGTCAGCACTGGACGGAAAGGCGAGTGGTGTGACTCAGGGATTTTATTGTTCATTACATCTATTCATTGCAGCCATATGAATACATTTTCGGTAAGTTTTGATACTTCTTGGTCCAGTTTCGGTAACTTGTCACTAGCCAGTAGCAGATGACAGCCCCCTCCCCCTTAATGATTTGACTTTGCATAACGCTGCATTGCAGCCAGATATACAGCACGAGCACCCCACCCCAGCAACCTACCACTTATTGTCCGTGCAGAACCCCTTTAAGAACCAGCTGAAAGTGTGTTTGCACACTGCTCTCTCTGGGATATTATTTTTCAGCGCCGAAGTGAAGGTGCAGTTTCCCAGAATCGCCCATGAAAGCTGAGAACCTGCAGAACCTTAACTAGGTTCTGTGAGCTGCCGTTCCTGACGTTGTTTGATAGACCCGCTCGGCTCAGCCGGAGATCATCTACACAATCTTCTGCGCCCGTTCTCTCTTCCCGCAGCCTCAGTAGACCCTTTCCAGGATGATGGTGTCATTCAGGTTGTTTTGGTCCCACCCGAGCATAAGGAGGTGCTTCCTCTGCCCTCCACCTAGATGGCAGCAGCTTAATGCTGGTATTGCTCAGTAAAACCTACGAAAAAACACACTGAACTACGCACCAAAAAAAAGCTTGAAAAACAAAGGAGATTTTCAGGAGATTTGTAACAAAATCCAGCAATCATGAAAATGAAATGAAAGTGACGTCCCCATTCATCAGGTCAGGGGTTTCCCCAATAGCTATACACCAAAAAACCATTAAAGATAATTGAAATTTTTGTGTCATTATTTGTTATCATAATGTGCAGTGCTGTTCACTATGAGCATGACAGCCTTCTCTGTGTGCAGTGCTGTTCACT